AACACAGACGGGGATTTTAGAGCGCACGAAATCCCCTCGTTTTTCTGGTTGGGCTTCTTCCCAATGTTAATGGGCCTTGCAGAAAAGCCCATGCCCAAGCCCATTTCTACAGCAACTTTGGCTGAGGAGGAGGAGGAGAGAGCTTGGAGAACCATTTTTTGTTCAAATAGAGAGTGGTGTGAGGTTGAAGAAATTGCCATGGCCATATTTATGATGAAAAGAAAGGATTTTCTTTGTCAGAAATGGAATTGGAATTCTAGAGAGAGAGAGAGAGAGAGAGGAGAGAGAGATTTATTTTTTTTTTGGGGGAAAATGTGAGAGAGGGAAGAACTAAAAAGGGCATATATAGGGGCATGGAGATGGAGGATTTGGGAATTTTTGGTCCACCTCACACAATCTTAGAAAGGAGCACGTGGTTATTTTCCACGATTGGCACTTGGGGATGTTAAACCTCTTACATTTATCCTCATTAATTTACTCGCGAGGTTTCACTCTAGACATTTTCAATGTTAGATCTCATCTTTCAAACTGTGACTTTTTTGGCTTATTGATCTTATTTAGATCCTATTTAGATTTTGATACTATATCAATATTCATGGAATTTCACCTCGAAATCTTTGAAAGATAGGCCACTTATATTATAAATATTTGTTAGCTGTCTTTATCTTTTTAGTGTGAGAATCTTTGACAATATCTCTGTCATTAATTGAAGTAGCAAAAGTTTGATATCATAAATTTTCAATGCATGAATTCCATGATATGACGTTTTGTTTAACAAACTATAGCACACGTCAAGCATAATTTGAGTTGGATCTTAAAGCATTCTTTTAAAAGGCAAGATAATGGCTAGGGTAGATGTTTTTTTTTTTTTTAATGGAGTCATTTTTTTTACTCTTTTCTTACGATAGTGATGTCTTGTAAACTCAAAGACAAAAACAAAATATTTAAAAGTGTAAATAATATTTTGAAACTAAATTAAAAGCATAAGAACCAGAAATGAAATTTGAGTCTTTAAAATAAAATGCAACTTTTATTTCTTATGGTGGGAGTTTTTCCGAGCATACTTCCCATGTTTCTTTTTTTCAAAGGAAGAGTCAAAATTAGTAAAATAGCCGTTAATATCACCCAAAAGTTCCAAATTAACAACTACTATTTCTATCCACACAAATTCTATGAAATTCAACATAATAAAAAAGAAGAAAAAAGAGAAGAATTTTCGAATACAAAATCAACTTTAGCTTCCTCTTACTCTTTTTTCTTCTTATTTTTTCGATTCAGTTCAATAAAGTGTAAATCTATTTTAAAGAAAACTCAAACAACCATAACATCATTTATTCAGAGCCTTCGAAAGTGGCCTTCTTCGATCATATAGACCTTTCAATTGTGACCTTTCTTTACGGGAACAGCTTCGAAGCAACCATGACGGAATAGATATATGTTGGATTTTTAATGTGCGAAACAAAGTGGTATTTGAAGATATTGATAAAATCGTTGAATATACGAATTTAACATCCAGAAATTAAATTCATGTATTAAGAATTTGAATCTTATTTTGTAACAAATTCTTTATTTGTTTCATATGTCGTTTTTGTTTCAATTTTGTGTTTTAACTTTATTTTGTTATAGTTGAAGTTATATTTTAAATGAAGAGTTTTTTCCTTCATTTTGTTAAAGTTGAAATTAATTCACGAACCAGAAAATATTTGTGCAACTATATATAGTAGTTGTTTTCTTTGAGATATCCAAACATTTCTCATTTGAGTTCTTTTCCTATCACAAGTATTCTCTCATAGTCTGCTAGCAACTTGTGCAGAGTTAATATTTGTCTTCAGGTCAGTACTATTAAAGCGTACCTCAACTACATTTCGTAAAGTTTTGGTGTTCATCAAGTTGTCAAGATCTATAATTGTTTGTAGCTAGTTATGTTGTAATCTATTTACCAGTGTTATTCAGTTTACATATACAATGTACATTTACCCAATAATATATATATATATAAATGAAAAAAAAGTGATCTTTCAAATAGAACCACATATATATATATATATATATATAATTTTGATTTACATGACGAGAATGTTGTATTAGTAAGGAAATGAAAAAAAGTGATCTTTCAAATAGAACCTAAAAAATAATGTTTAAATCTAAATGAACGGATTGAGATGATCTTGCTCTAACTATCTATCTCATTAAACTATTCAAGTAAACATTTAATATAAGAGATTCTAGTTAGAAGCATACGAATTCTGTAATGTATCTCTCTGTGTGTACATCTGACCATCATGAGTGAACAACTACATATTCTTATTAATTTTTCTTGATGGAAAGAAGAGACGAGACGAGACAAAAACATGTGGGATAGATGTGTTTTGATGACGAGTTTTCCTATTACACACTTTGGTATATTCCCTCTCTTTTCTCCTTGATCATACCTCGACATTTTCTTTGTGCATATAATTACTAAAGATGGGAGGACCCCTACCTCTTTCTCCTTTGGCTGATGGTTTGATTCCTTTGATATTTTTCTCTTTACAAATGAAGGGAGGGACATTCTCTCCTTTAACCTAAGATATTCTCTTTTTAATATTTGATTAAGAATTCAAGTAGATTATTGTCCCCTCAAGTCGATCATCTCTCCATACTTCTGTAATATTATGATATTGTTTCTTTTGAACCTAAGTTTAGTTACATGGATTTGCATTTGATTATACCGAAAAATCTTGTACTTATATACATATCATGAATTTTCCAAATTCTAGCTTAATGTGGATCGAAACTATATTTATTTCTCTAAACATGTTATGATTAGAGACCTGGAACAACTAATAAATAGGGTTTTTGGATACTAATTCATTTGTTTATACCTCTAAATTAGGTAAATTAATGTATAGCACTTAATGACACATCAAATTTGTGAATAAAAGACACAGATAGATAGAATATTTTCCATTATCATAAACATAAGAAAATTTTAACACATAACACATAAGGATATAGTGTAAAGTAACAGCCAAGGGAAGAATTGGATGGATTTGTTATGGCATGTGGAGAGAAGGGCCAAGTGGGAGGATACATACAAAAATTTTGAAGAAAACATATAGGGTGAAATGATGTTATAGAAACATATGTGGCAGTGAATAAAAGATGAGTAAAGGCTCAAACTTTATAAAAGGAGAAATGGTAGTGTTTTGAAGCAAAATATGGAAATATTCTCCTCTCCACTACCCTTGTTGTTTGCTTTCTTCTGGGTCACTTCACTACCCATCAAATTTTCCAACTTTTTTTTTACTTCTCCCTTTGTCAAATGTCTTATAATGTAGAAGAATAGAATAGTACAGCATAAATAATTAGTATTGAGCAGCTGCCCCAAAACCCCTCTGTATACCCTATACAAATGTACATTATTTCTCTGTCCTAGCTTAATTTTGGGATACATGGCATCATAATGTTAAATATTTTGGTATTTACCTAACTGATAATCATCTAGGAAAAGGACTCCACGTGAGAGAGAGGGACTGGAAGAAAAATTTACAAAATCATAGGTGGCAGAGACAAGTAACTACTCTTCAATGCGTCTTCAATACTATGATATTGTCTCGCACCCAACAATACTTATCTTGATCAAAGGACCATCGTCGATGGGATTTTGGTCGCACATCTAACAATTCTCCCCTAGAATAAAGTACATCGAGTTTTTCCTTCAAATAGTCATCGATCTGTGTCTTACTATGAGCACATCACCTTTAACCAGACGTTGATTCTGTTCACTAGAACATACGGCCTGTCAGATAGCTCAACCACTGATTTTCCTGATTATATGTCTTCTAAGGTTGGTGATCACTTTGTTAAGCACCAGAAGATTCTTTCTGTTAAGGATCCCACCATTAAAAAGATAAGAGGCTTATCAAAATATAAATGTCTCATTTTAACGGAAATGTTGTCCCTTTACGATAGAGTTCCCGACCTTTCTATCACATATGAAAACTAACACATGGGGCATAATAAGTAAAAGGGCAATAAATATCAAATCCATTGGTAAAGAAAAGCATTAAGTTTCTCAAAATATACCATCGTTCGATAAATATCACAAATAATCCAAGCAGTACTTCTCCAAATTCAATAGCAAAAATGTGTTCTCTCTTCGTCCACAAACTTGAATCTTGACTTGATTATATGGTTTCCCTCTCTCTAGAGAATAGAGACAAAGTCTTACCTCAATCAAAACAAGACGAGAGGACAACATAATGTCTTGTTGGTGATGCCAACTTGTTACTAAATTATGACACATAACAGAGATTTGAGAAAGCAAAAGGTTCCAGCAATATAGGGAAATAGTTGCAATAATAATTCAGCTGGGGAGGAAATCAACAGTGCTTATAACTGCATATAATTGTAGAGGTGGGGCATTGTATAAAAGCAAGTTGGTGCATCTATGTTTTACCACTTTGGGGAAAATATCAACTAAAGCTGCTTAATTTTTCTTTTCTGCTTTGTACTATGTTTTGCCACTTCTGAACCAACCCATTTGTTAAAGGATGATGGGGAATTCAAATATTTAATGTTTACCCTCTCCTACTTCTTATCCAATTCATCTCGTTTGACCTCTAATGTGTGACTTCCTCTCACATTCTCGTCCAATCAATTATGGTAATAATTGTGATTGAATGACTTGTACGATTAGAATTATCGAAAGTTGTGGTCGTATCTAGTGGAATAGAACATACTTACGTTGGGTACTGTAGAACCTAATCAAAACATCTTCTTTCAAAGTATATTTACAAGAAAGAGGCCGTAATGAAGATTGACGTGCTTCACCTCATTGATAAATATCTAGAAATTTTAGCCTAACTCATGGAGCCATTGTCAATATAAAAAAAATAAAATAAATAGTACTTGGAGAATGACATTTTTTCCATGGAGACCTCCCTTTGAACATGGAAGATGATGACTATATATATATATAATATTTTGTACGTGTCTGCTCAAACAATGTGAAGACTCATTTAAATGCGAGAATTTGGCTACCATATACAACGTTTTAAATATGTAATAAAGAGAGATTTAACTTGGGCTTGGACCGTGGACCATTTCGAGGAGGCCCAACCACTTTCAAAATGATCATAAAGGGGCTGAATATTCTAATCGCTCCAATGGGCCGGCCCAACTTATTGGGTCTATCCCCTTGCCCTGAGATAATGAGACATAAAAATTAAAAGAAAAAGAAAAAACAGCTGAGTTTTGTTTGGACCATTTTTCTGTATTTTATTTTTACACAAAGAAATATCTTTTTTTGGAAGATGCTTACAATATTCACAGCAAATTAATAAGACTTATTATAGTGCTTAAAATTTTAAAGGATATATTTTCCCCAAAAAACAAATAAAAAATCCCATAACTATTTGTTTGGCTGTGGAGATAACAACGTGGTTTAATAAACAGATTCCAAATTCCTCTCTCTCGTGCTTCATATAAATATATATATATATATTCAACTTTATTTTTTGGTTTGGCATTTTATCCTGATTCTTTAACTATTTAAATTCCTATCCCAACTTTATTCCTCATCTCTATTATTTATTATTTATTATTATTATTATTATTATGATTATTTCTTGTCCAAAGGTATAGGAATCCCTTTTCCTCTTCTTTCTTTTTCCATTTCCTTGATTCCTTTTTTTCCTTTAGAAGTAAGAAAAGTTATGAGCATACAGATAAAAACATAATCTCTATTTCTATAAGTATAAATCATTTTGGGTAGATATCAAAAATAAAATTATTCAAGAAATATAGAGAGATAGAATTATTCGGATATAATTTCTTAACTTTTTGTTTGATTAAATTACATAAACTACTCTTGAAAAATCACCGATTGTCTTTTCAATCACATCGTAATATGAGTATATTATCGCTTTACTTTAAAAAGAAAAAAAAAACAAAAAATGGATTTATTATTTGTTCTTGTGTTAAAATTAAAATTGAATAACTTTTTCTTTTTTGGGTTTGGTATTCTAAAAAAGTTAGGAAATAAGTCTTTTTCTTTCCAACCCACCGAAATAATTGCACGGATATTATTTTATATTATGGAGAGTTTTGTGCCGCAAACACATTTTAGTCGCTCATTTTCTTTGAAAAAGCATGTTTAATAAAAAATATATATATATTTTATTAATTAAAAAAAATAATAACTAAGAACAACTTTTTGGAGACTAATTTACCCACAATTTTGAAAGTAGTAAAGAAGAATAAAACTAGATTTTGATGTTGACATAAATTATAGGACCCCATAGGTTAGTTGAATGTAGTCTTCAAATCTTTAATTTCACTAATATTTACTCAAATCATTATTAATTGTTGTAATATTATTCCTACTATTAAACCTACTTTCATTAAAAATATTAATCTTATTTTTTAAGCTGAAAATGTGAAGTTGCAAAATATTTAACCAGGACTCAATTCATACCAGCTTATTTGGTTTAATTTTCATCATAAGATTAAAAAATTTTTGGTCTATTATAACTTTATCGAAATATTATAGGAGTCCTTCGATATTTTTAACCAAATAAGTGTTTCAATTTATACCTTCTCAAAATTACATTTGAAAACTACTTATTAAATGACCAACAAATAATACAAAATTCAACCAACTAAATACCTAAAATCATGTAAAAAAAACCAACATGAACATAGTTAAACAATTAAGACGAGGTTTAATCATCAATTCTTACCTTTGTTATATTAGGAAAATCATGTCCGAGGAATGCTTAAACTTAATTCAATCCAAAAATTAGTCATAAAATCAAGTAAAACTTCCAAATTTAAACAACCAAAGGGCTAAATCCAACCAATAAAAAACCTTCAACAATAAATTCAACTGACTATAGGTATTAATTACACTTATTTATTGAAATCTATAGTTTAAATGGATGAAATTGGGAGTTGAAGATTGAAATTGATTGTCCACTTAAATTTAGGTAAGAAATTGAAGTTTTCTCAAAATGATACTATATTCCGCTTTATATATATATTTTTTATTTATAATCATCAAAAGCCAACCTACAAAGCAAAGTTTAATCTTTCAAGGAAAACTCAGAGTTTTAAGTTACAAAAAAATTGAAAAATGTTATCTTTCCCTTGAAGAGAATAAGAAAAGATAAATTCCAAAACTCCCATTTCCAAAACATTCTCAATGTCATGATTTTGCGAAGGATTTTCCAATAGCGGTGGCTGCCGTCTCTTGTTTCATGTATGAAAATGAAACCCTTTCGCCAAATTTATATTCCTCTCATCCTCTGGCCCTGTGCTCAGATTACGCGTCCTCTGCTTTCGGCTTCGAGTTTAAGCTTCAATTAACGAAGATAAGAGCCCAAGCCCCCACCCCTCGCCCAAAATTCTTAGCTTTTAATTCTTTTCAATCTTTCTTTTCCACGAACGCGTGAAGAACACGTCTCTTGATTAATAGCTACAGTCGCTCTCGTGACATTGAGTACAATTTCCTCCTCCTGCGCGTGGGAGCAAGAGAAATCGAGATTTGAGGAGCTACGTCTGCCACAAAAATAAAATAATCTTGCTTTTTCAAGGCGAAATGGGGATTGTAAAGAGTTACAGGTCACCCCCCGCCCTCTGTTCTGTATTTGGAAGTCACCAGAGCTCTAAATCTGATCAAAAAGTCACCATCTCTGTGACTATTTTTCTGTAAATCCCCTTGCTCTTGTAAGTACTTGTGGCTACGCGATTTCCTTGCTTCTTATATTTCTTCTTTCTGCTTTTTGTGGGTGGGTTTTCTTCTGATACGTAACAGCATAAAGGATCCTGGATTTTGGATTTTGGACTTTTTGGTGTCCGAAATTTCGAATTCCGTCGTATTTGTGAATTGGGTCTTTGAAATTCGTTAAGTATTTTGCTATTTGAAGGGGTGATTGCAAGAATTTGGGCTCCTACTGGGGTATCGTTTGCTGGGTATTTGTCTTTTCAGCTGTTTGCTGTGAAATTTTGTAGCGTTCGTACGCCCAAATTAGTATATCTAAACAGACAGATGTAAGGATGATAAGAGATAGTCGATGAAGCTAAAGAGTGGAAGTTTTCATTTCCAAGACTAATGGGCTTAGATAAATTTCTAGGTTGAGTTGTCTACAGTAACAGAGGGAACAGTTCTTATGAGGATAATCAGTTTAGTAACTTGGTTCTTCAGCTTCTTTATTTGACTTTGGGTTTTAGAGTGCTGATTTATTTCTCTGAGTCAACCATTCATATTACCCAAAAGAAATCAAATAAAGATTTGTTGCTGTGAATAAGGGGTTTCAGAGTTAATCGAACCACTTGGTTGATTTGATTTGTTTTGTAAGGCTTTTGGCGTTTGTTAGAGATAGTTATGCAGAGGGTTCGACTGTCATCTCAACAAACACCAGTGCTTAAGTTGGGTGATTCTCAAATGACATTATCCCCGAAGTTTAGGTTAGCAATTATCAAATCTAATCTCTTAAATCCTTCATCAGACTTGGAGTCATCTCTTTGTGGGGAACCATTAATTCCGGGTCTTCCAGATGATGTTGCACTTAACTGCCTCCTCCGGTTACCGGTCCACTGCCACGCCGCTTGTCGGGTTGTTTGCAAAAGATGGCATCAGCTACTGGGTAGTAAAGAGAGATTCTTCACTAGGAGGAAGGAGTTAGGTTTCAAAGAACCTTGGCTTTTTGTATTTGCTTTCCACAAATGCACTGGAAAGATTCAGTGGCAGGTTCTTGATCTTATCCATTTCTCTTGGCATAGTATCCCACTCATGCCTTGCAAGGACAAGGTCTGTCCCCATGGCTTTAGGTGTGTTTCGATCCCTCATGAGGGCACTCTCTTTGTTTGTGGTGGCATGGTCTCGGATGTTGACTGCCCTCTCGACTTGGTCTTGAAGTATGAGATGCAGAAGAATCGTTGGACTGTGATGAATCAAATGATTACGGCGAGGTCGTTCTTCGCCAGTGGAGTCATTGATGGGAAGATTTATGTGGCTGGAGGAAATAGCACTGATCTTTTTGAGCTCGACTCGGCAGAGGTTTTGGACCCTACCAAAGGGAGTTGGAACTCCATTGCAAGCATGGGAACGAATATGGCTTCATATGATGCTGCAGTTCTCAATGGGAAGCTTCTAGTAACGGAAGGCTGGCTGTGGCCTTTCTATGTGGCTCCGAGGGGACAGGTTTATGATCCAACAACTGATAATTGGGAAACTATGGCCATTGGGCTGAGAGAAGGCTGGACTGGTTCAAGTGTAGTGGTCTATGGACACTTGTTTGTTGTTTCAGAGCTTGAAAGAATGAAGCTTAAGGTTTATGATGCAGCTTCTGATTCCTGGGAAGCTATTGAAGGGCCTCCTTTACCAGAGCAGATATGCAAACCTTTTGCTGTGAATGCATGTGACTCAACCATATACGTTGTCGGTAGGAACCTACATGTAGCTGTGGGCCGTATCTCTCGGCTAAGCAAAAAGGGGATGGGCGAAAAAAAATGGAGCTTTAACGTAATTTGGAATGTCGTTGATGCGCCAGAATGCTTCTCTGACTTGACACCCTCAAGCTCTCAGGTGCTGTTTGCTTAGTTACCCTTTCCCCCCTCTCCCCCAAATGTCTTGTATGATTTTGAATATGTTACAAACAAAGAGAATTAGCTATATATCTGATTATAGATGTGTGGAATTGTGTTTGTTCAAATTGGCATGTATCGAGTACTGACTAAGTTCGTCAATCTTTCGTCGGTTCTTCTTTTCCTCTTTCATCATTAATCGGATGCATAATGCACAACTTTAAATTATTGCAGTTTTATGTCTGCCTCTCAGTCTTTAGCTAGCACAAAGCTGTCTCTGTTTACATTGTTTCCTGAGTTACCTGAACATGTGCCAACTGACCTTGTGTGGCTCATCAGGAACAGGTCTTAGTGAAAGCAAGCTTATTCAAACATTTACTATTTGTGTATTTTTTTTTCCTTTTTGCTGATGCTTTTGACTTTTTTGTAAAAGTATCGGTTCATCCCTTTTTCCTTTTTCTTTTGTCTTTTGAGCCCAACAAGATGAAGTTTCGAACCTTTGCTTTTGGTCGAAGATATATGTCTTAACCAGTTGAACTACACTCAAGTTGGTATCAGTTCATCTCCCTGAGGTGTGAGAAGTGCGTGACTTACCAAAAATATCTGTTCCTATTCTTTTTTCGTGAGTGTTCAGATTCTTTCTTGTTCCAGTCACCCATATGTAAAATCTCCAGATTTCATGAGCTTCAATTCTGGGTCATTCCATAGAGCCTCAAGAACACATAGAAGTTTCCATCTTGTACCATTTTAAAAGACATTTAACTTGAATCATGTAGCCTGTCTTGACCTTCACTTTTGCAGCAACTGCTTGCTTGCTTCTTCATCTTCCGACTTTGTTGCATCAAGTGCTTTCTGAGTCCTATGGAACTGAAATGGGTATGAAAATTCAAACAATGGTGGTGTTTTTTGGTCTTTTCCATGAAACACCCCATTGAGAAAGAAGGTAACTTTCAGTCCAATTTCTTTGAGAGAATGATGAATGATGATTGATTGTGATAAGGATGAAGAAGAGTTTGGAAGGAAAAGTATGGCTTGACAGTCTGGTGTGCAACTTGGAAGTGGAAGAGTTGCAAGGTGGGAAAGTGCCCTTTCCCTTTTCTCTGACTTTTTTGGACTTTTTTTTTTAATAAAGATTTTTTAAAAGATTAAAATGCCTCAAAGACGGCCATTGGCAAGAGCATGTAATCTTTGAGTAATACCTACCTCGATGTTGCATGTTTGAACCTTTGAGTGTGTTTAATAAGAAAATAGTCGGTGCTTTTCGAGCGTGGACTTTGGAGCAAACACAGCCTCGTGAGTACTCTAATATAGGAAAGCAAGCTCCAATTAGGAGTCATAACAAACAAAAATGGTAATTAAGATGAATGTCCCTTGAAAATTGAAACATTGATTGAGGACTTTAAAAAAATGTTGAAACTCAGTGCAAGATTTCAATCAGGAAATGGTGAAGCTGTCCTCTCCAGTTGATCTGTCAAACTACAAAATCAACTGAATATTGTTGGTTGAGTTGTTCTTTTCAAAGGATCAAATGGTTTTGTATTTGCATTCGTTTTAGCCAATTCTATTATATGGTTGTTGGTTTTAGCATTAATGAGGTTCATTAATGTGTGGGAGTGCTTTTCAAACATATTTAAGCATTATTAAAGAAGCCAAAAAAATACTTGGGGACTGTTCTGCACAAAAATTGTTAGTAGTACTTTATTGCCTATTTTTTTTTATTATATTTAAATGTTGTATCAACTAATTTCCTTTTATGCATGCTTTCTTCCAATATATCTCGTTCTTTGACTAATAAATCATAATTGAATCAACTACATAAATCAACTCAATGAATGAAATATCTAAAATTAAGTTACATAAATGAGTCAGTCACAAAATCAAACATGTTTTGTTTAGACTCAACACTAAAATGTTCAACATTAACTACCACTATATGAGCATGACTAAGTGGTTAAGATATTTTGCTCCTCTGATGTTTTAGTCCCTCATTCTTAGGTTTAGTAAAATTATTCGAATCCTTAATTAATAAGGATAAAGAAAATGTTTCCTTTTTTTCTTTCCAAAAAATAATTTGTTTATTAATTTCATTAGCTACCAATTGTCAAAGTTTTCTTTATTAAGAACTACACATTATTAACTCAATACATCAACTTAAAAACAATGAGAGTTGTAGTTATTATAGGTAAAATCACCATGTTAAGTTTACTTCAAATGAAGACAAAGAAATGACGTGAGCTAAATTGCCCTAGTCTAACCGACACAACTCAATCGAGGCAGGTAGACCATACCTGACCGCCCAGCTAGTATACTATGTGGTTGATCAAATAAAATTTCTCTTGAACATGTTCCTCAATGCGTGTCCATGGTCCTTGATTCACCTTTTTACCAAAACACATCACATTTCATATCAAATATAAACATTATATATCATGTTGTATCCTTCCTTATTGATACTTACCACATTTTGATGAGTTGGCCGTCTAATATGAATTAAAATATATGAAAAGAAAATATAAGATAGATATTGAATATACAAGTTACTTCTCTAGGGGATTTTTTTTGGTTAGAAATGTGGTGGGGATGAAAGAGACACATGTAAATTAAAAATAATAAGAGTGAGATGCTAATTTTAGTTGAATAATGGGCTAAGGTGGGGCATACCTAATTTTGGTGGGATATGAGATATAATTTGAGAGGCATTGATCACATGGAGATGAAGCCAAAAAAAGGCTAAATTAGTTTGATTTTTTTTTCCACTAAATCTATAGTAATATGAAACCCCAGCTGTGCCCCCCTCATTATTTCCTTCACGTGTAAATTAATTTTTTTCCCCTTTTTCCTTTTTATCACCTGATTTTATTTACTCTATTTTAACGATTCGTTGTTTTATTTTTCTCTGTCTCCCTCTTCGTCCCCTTCTCCTTCCCTCCTTTATGATTTAAGATTCCCCTCCTCCATGCTTTTTCGCCTCGGATCCATCTTTCTAATTTTCACCTTCAGTTAATAAAATCCAACGTCATCTCTTCATTATTCCTCATATGTTGGAATTGGAGCCTTATATCCATCAATTTCTTCTTGATTTTGATCAATTGAAATTCAGAAATCTTGATTCGAAAAAGATCGAAATGCAGAGTCAATGAGCGATGGTGCTGGGAATAACATGCGACATTCCAAATCTCCGATTCGACCAAAACCCAGGGAAGGGAAGAAGAAGAAGGGGAGGGAGAAAGAGAAATAAAAATAAAAAGCAAATTGCACTAAAACATAAAAATAAAATAAAATTATTAATATTGCCACATCATTTAAAAAATGTGCGTACTCAATTATGCCATATGATATTTCCATTACTCAAATAAGTTCAGGGATCATTTAGAACTATTTTCTAAGGATCGAGAATCAAATTGTCATTTTTTGAAACTTAAAATCAAATAGACATTTATTCTCAAATTCAGAGATTAAAAACGTATTTTACCCAAAAAGTTGGGAAAGAGAGTAGTCCAAGGTGGCTTACTAGTATTAAACTTTTAAAAAGGTGAAAAAAGAAATTTTGATCGTAATTGCAGTAAAGCAATCCCTCGCAATTTCGTCATATACTCATTAGTGCATATAAAACCTATCCTTCTTTGGTTGATTGGAGATTGGAAATTAACTTTTAAGGTTTTAGTTTAGTTTAGAGTAAATTGTCTTACATCGGAGAGATTTATGAAGAGGGTGCTATAAAAGAGGTCAAAGTTTTAGGTTTTATTGAAACACTTTAACAAACTCTAGTTAATTGAATGATATTTGAGACTGTTTTGTGTAAACAGAGTCAAATAAGAGAAATCTATGCGATTGTAATAGATTTATTCTTGGTTTTTCTCCAATTTGGAGTTTTCATGTAAATTCTTGTATTTTTTTTATTTTATTTTATTGATTTCTTTAAATTTCTCAACTATTTTCCTATCATTACTTTCAATACGTCTATTTTAGTTCATATACTTTAATTTTTTATTCATTTTAGTCCATTTACTTTTAAAACATCAATTTTAATCCCTATACTTTTAAACCATGACCATTTTATTCTCTATTTACAAAACTTTAATACATATTTTACATACAGTAAAAATATTTCAATACAAATTTTATGGCTGCATTTCAATAAATTTAATCAATGAGTAAAGTATCATGCTAAAATTATGATCGTAAAAACCAACACAAACATAACTCAACCGTTAAGGCATCTTGCTACATTTTTAGAAGTGGTAGGTTGAATTATCCTTCTTGCTAAGGAAAAAATTGTGATCCAAAGATCAAAATAATATTTAAATAGGAGATAAACTATGGGTTGGGCCATCCAAATTTGAAAATGAAAAAGGAAATCAAGATAGAAGTTAAAAAGAAAGGAAAAGGGATCCGTGTTCGTTACGTGGTTCATTATTAGTTACACCGCAAGTTCGCAACGCAGCGTTTAATTAAATGTTTGCCGACCGTGGCGCGTCGTGGGCCCACCCGTGTTTCTCGTGAATTTTATTATTATTATTATATTATATTATATTATATTATCTCATCCCTCTCTCTTCTCCACTTACCAATTCCAGTTGCCAACCAAACGCGCCTCACATTTTCAAAACATATTTATACAATACAATTTTTTTTTGTAATGCTTCTTCAATTGCTCTCTGAAACTTACACCCATTTTTTCTCCTTCTGAAACTGAATATTAATTTATATGACCATGATTTTCCCAACTCCTCCAATGGAACCACAACACACCCTCCACTGCAACTTGGAGCTCTGCCTCTCTCCGCCGCCGGCGCCACCTTCCTCCGCCACCGCCGCTGAATCAACAACCACTTCAACTTCCGACCACCACCACCCCATGGTCAATTATCATCATGGATTCCCTGTTACTGATCTTACAGAGCTCCAGGTACATATATTGCTCAAATTTACCTTTTAATTGTCAAGAACAAACCTAACTCAATAGTAATTAATTTGGGTTATGGGTATTGGCAGGCGAGAGCGATCATAATAGGAGCCACGCGACAGATGGAGGAGAGGAAGACGACATGTCGGACCAGATCGGCGGAGGAGAAATCAAGCTCCATGAAGAGATCGCTGCAGAGGTTTTTACAGAAGAGAAAGCATCGCATACAAACACTCACACCCTACACTACTCATCACTTCTAGATTTTTTTTATTATTTATTTCTCCATTTTTCATTTTTAGCAACTTAGGATATATCCAGCTCTTGTGTTGTGCGGTGTGTGGTGTGGGACTTTATAATGTATGAATACATTTCACTGCGCATATGTAACTTATATAAATACTTTGCCTTAATTCTTCATATTTTTCTTAAAGAGGGAGTTTCTTTTTTGTTGGGTACTTCCTTTATGACCTTGACTTAAAATTTCTATGTAACTAAAATAACCTAATGTATGTAGCATGTTAGCAATTTCTATATAAGTTAATTTTCACTAAAAATATATGATTATTATTAAAAGGATGTGTTTTTTGATATGGCCTAGAGTCCTAGGGCATGAAAGTATATAACTTCTTCTTGTGTTTTAAGACAATAGTTTAGGTTTTTAATTTCTAAATAGGTACTGCTTTGATTTGGTGGTATTGGGTATTTGAAAATGTAAAATGATTTCGAAGAAATTGAGTTCAAATTTCATGACAGCCTGTTTACCATATTAAAATCTTCTCCTAGTTTCTCAATTACAATGAGAGGTAATCGAGGATTTTACCTGATTTAAGTATTTTTTGGCACCCACATTGATAAAAAAAATTACAGTTTCTTACCAGTAAAATATTGAAAGTGAATTGAGAGGAAAAATGGTGATTGGATATGTGAGTGAATGGGTATTAGCCCAAGACTTTTGGCTCTATCCTAGTTTTTGTTTTCGATGGTCAGCCACCCTTGTCTCAAGAACCTAACTCGAGTCAAACTTCGACACTAGTCAAATATTTTATAAAATTTATGTTATTTTTAATTATGTGTAATTTTTTTTTATTCATATTCATTTTGTCTTTCTCTCTCTTCCCCTTTCCTTCCTATCTTTATTTCTCTCTTTACAAAAATATCTTTCCATGACTTCTCACCATTGCCACGTGAGGATCCAAAATATGGTATTTTTGGAAGATTTAAGCCCATAGTATTTGGAGGAGTTTTTGGGCTCTTCTGGCAGCCTTTTTCTTTTTAGTGGAATATGTGGGGGTGGGGATTGAATTCACGAACTCCTTGATTGGAGATATATGTCCGGCTCAACTATGCTTGCTTTGGTAGGGTGGTAGCCCTTATCTTACTAAACCACAAATCTGTTTTTTTAATTTCTTTGTTTTTTTCTTATACAACCCAACCACTAACTTGTATTTTCTTGAAATGATCTAAATCACTCCCCATTACATTCGCAACAACCACTTTTTGATATATATAAAACTGAATGCATATACATATACTTCTTCCAACGAGGAAACAATTATATCCACAGATTTCTATCTTTTGAAATCAGAGCTTCTTGGAATCTGAGAGAAGCTTCGCCTGGCAGGAGACCTCAAAATACTTGTAATTGTTGAGTCGGATTCCCTACAAGCAATAAATCTTCTAACGAGAAAGTCGAAAACGAACTATGAGTAACGAAAGCAATTTAAATACTCGACATTTCATGAAATGGTACACTTTTTCCCCACGATTTCATATAAACCTACATGTAGGAAGATCTTTGAATAGGGCAACTGACATTTGAACTAAAGTTGCACTCATCAACTTTCTTGCGTAGTTTTTAGCTTCAATTGCTTTTTCACAATAGATAGAGAAAATTTACATCCCTCTAAAGTCCACACGAAATTTTCAAGCTAAAATAAAAGTTCACTCTTTTAACCTGAGCTCAACAGTAAATTAAATTTTCACTCGTATATTTTGTGTGCTAAATAAGAAAAAGAGAAAATAAATAATCTATATCATTGTTGGAAATTGTTTTTATGCAATCTATACATTAATTACCTATTTAATTATGATCCCCATTTTAAGAGCCAAGATTCCATTCCCCCCTTCATCTCACCAAAACTCCAATCCTTAATTATGGCATCTCCTTGTTGTGTGCAAGAGTAGAATCTTTGCAGCCTTCCCAACGTAAGAAAAAAGGTGAGTGAAAGTTGATGTGATATTAGACCTTTCATATAAGCTTATTTTAATAATCTTCAAAGAACCAACACACAACACCCAATACAGAAGAAAAGTTCAAATTTTAGACTTCAAGAGAGAGAGAGAGAGAGAAGTGAATCAAGAAATATATTTTTTATTTTAGACTTCAGTTTCTTCTCTGTGTGCTAAAAAGATAATGGAGAAGCAGCTACCTAACTGATAAGACCTGGCCTGCAGCCTGCAGCTACATCCTTTCTCCTATAAGATACAAACAAAATAAAAAAGAGAGAGAAAAAAAAGAAGAAGAAATCTTATCTTTGCATGAAGATTCATTCAAGTGCAAGTCATGTCAAGCCAACTCTGCACTTTGCATCAACTTTGTCTTACTTTTAACACATGGAAATGACTGATGGAATAAATGAGCTAAGTTTCAGACCTCACCAACCAACTCACAGCTTTTCCATTCAACCATCGCTAACAAATAAATTTGTTACAAGAAATGAAATATAATACCATTTCTACCCCTTTTTAACTTATATCAATTTTTACTATAAACTTTACGTCTCACACCTAGACAAATGTTGCCTTCTTTACCTTGAATTAAGAATCGTCTTGGTAATGTTTGTTTCTCGTTCTCTTTTTCAATGAGTAAAAATAAACCGTATTTTGTTGTTTTTTTTTAATTGTAAGAAAAACAAAAACATGTTTGATAATGGTAATAATTTTTTATGGGTTTCTAAAATTTTAAATTAAATATTCAAAATCTTTTGTTCGTTTTCAAAATTTCTACCCAATATTAATAACGTTTTTTATACATGAGAAACGAAAAAACATAGAAGCAGTTATCAAATGTTTATGTTTCTCATTAGTGGGAAAAGAGAAACAAGAAACAAAATACGGTAATATTACCAAATGGGCTACTACGTATTACAAAACACATACACGGATTTCAATTTAAAAGATCTATATTAGAGTTGTGTTTTTTCCAAAAATATATATATAGTGTGTTTTTAGTAGTCGATATTATGTATTATATTGAAAACTTAAATTTGTGCAAAGTTAGATTTTAGTAAAATTAGTGAGTTTTGAAATATTTTACCTTGCTTTTAATTAAAATTAGTGGTTGAATCAGCAGGAATTCAACTAAACATAAAAGTGCAGCATTTATCTAAATCCAAAGTTTAATAATATGAAATCAAAACTTTTGAGGAAAAAAATTAATACACCTCATGGGTAAAATTTTACTTTTTTTCCTCCAAAGGCAAAAAGGAAAGAGAGAAAAAAAATCAGTCAAAAGTAGTTTTCAGTTTTACTACTACAAACCAGAACACAGAACAACTGCAACAAAAGCCCAAAAAGTAAGCATAAGATTTTTGTCCCAAGTTGGAGTCTGAGAAGAGCCATTTTCTTCCAATTGGTTCCATGCTGCCTGTATTCTCTTACAATCTTCTGCTGTTTGTTGTTCACTGTCATTTCTTCCTCCACTGGGATTCAAACAGTATGGGGTTTCCTCAGAATCAACTGAGATATTATTCCTCTTCTCAATCTCCTTATGCCTTTGGCTGCATGATGAACACAGCCCTTCGTTTCCTCTTACATCCAATCTCTTCCCAAGTTTACTCACAAACTCATCTGGAAAAGACACCTCTCCACTCAGTTGATTGTGGCTCAGATTCAAAAGATCCAATTTTGGAAGTTGCCCCAAATCTGCTGGGATTGCCCCACTTAGATTGTTGTTGCCCAAAGACAGGGCTGTGAGGGTTCTCAGAGAAGAGATTGAACTGGGTATTGGCCCTTCAATCCCACATTCTGATAGGCTTATTGATGTGAGCTTCTCAAGGCTTCCTAAGAACAAAGGCATCACAGAGTTTAATGGGTTGTGGTCCAATATCAAGTACTCCAAATGCTCTAACCCTTCAAATGTTTGTGGGATTGGCCCATTTATGAAGTTGTGGCTCAAATCCAGCAGCACTAATTTCTTCAACATCCCCAAATTTGGAGGTATCTTCCCCTGAATCCTATTTGAGCCCAAATCAATCTTTTGGAGGAGCTGCAACTGCCCTAAAGAAGAAGGCAGATTTCCCTGTAGAGCATTCCAACTGAGGTCCAAAATGCTCAAACTTCTCAACCCACCAATGGCTTGGGGAATTCCACCACTCAAATTGTTGTAGCTGAGATCAAGCTCTTCAAGGCACAACAATCCACCAATCCCTTCAGGAATCTGCCCCTTCAGGCTGTTCTGAGACAGACTCAGGACTCTCAGATTTGTTGCATTCCCCAAACTGGAAGGGATCTCCCCAGAGAGAGATGGATTGGACTGGAGAGCCAATTGCTCCAAATAAGACAGTGAGTGAAACAGGGCAGGAAACAGAGCAACTGAGGAGGTAGTGAAGCAGCTGAAGATTGAAAGGGACTTCAAATAAGGGAGCTTGAGCAAGGCATGGGACAAATAGGCAGAGGATTTGCAAGGTGGGTCAAGAACATCAGGGCCAATGTGGATGTTGGTGACATGGAACAGAGGAGGGAATTGAGCAATCTCACATTTTATGCCAGGCCATGGAGTTTGAGAGCAGGGGAGGGGGTGAGCCAGAGGCCAATCAGGGTCATCCAATAGAGAGGTCATAACTTCAAAAAGCCCCAAAAGCTCTGCCTCTTCCATTTCATCAGTTGAGAAGGTGGTGCTGCTGGTAAAGAGAAGGAACAGAAAAAGGGAAACAGAGAGGGAAGCCATGGCCATGGGAGAGGAAAGAAGAAAGTGGAAGTGGAAAGGAGTTGAGTTTGGGGTTTGTATTTGTGGGGAAAGGAAGAGGAAGAGAAAGAGGAAGAGGAAGAGGAAGGTGTGTCAGTGGTGGAAAAGTGGAAGTGGAAGGAGAGAAGAGAGGGAGTTACTAATAGGGGAAATGTTTGTGAGCAGAGGCTTCTTTTTGTGTTTTTTTAATAGACAAGTGTGTAAACTGTAAAATGATGGGACTTGGGCTTCATTTCAGAACCTGTGTGAAGCAGACACCACAATGATGCTCAGCCAGCACACAGCAGAGACCAGACCTCTCGCTCTAGCTACCTCCCTTTGAAACATTGGCTTTTGAGAGGAAATATGTATATATATCATTTGGGAATTGGGATGCAATTCTTGAGAATATTTATTAGGTATTTGGAGTTTATGTAGAGGGCTTAGGAACCCTAGATTTGAGAGGTAGGTTTTTTGAAACTTAGTGTTAGAAAAACTATTGAGGAAGTGTATTTGGTGAGAATAGGTTTCGGGTGTTGATATAAGATTCTCGGTTAGGTGACATGTCAGCAATGGTCTATGTGAATGGTTCAAGGGTAGGAGTTAAACTGAGCTCTTCTTTATCCGATACTAAACATGTTAAATCTCCCATGAGCCCACAAATTTAAATTGATAGATTAGAATAAATTTAATCATATATAGATATCTCAATAAATATTAACAAATAACGATGGTAAGTACTTATACTAAAAAGATATATTTTTTATTTTTTTATTTTTAGTTCATTTGAACTTCAAAATTAAGTATGCTTTTTAATTATACTTAACTTGGAGCAATTTTACAGCTTACCTCATCAAGACAGATTTGTTGTGTGGGTTACAACTATTCTGGAAAAAAAAAACTGTAAAATCTTTCTTAATTGCAAAAAGTATACATCTTTTTTGTGTATGAGACAAATAATTAATAATGTGATTACTGAAATGAGAGAGTTATTGTAAAGAGACAAGTTGTTTAAAAGAGTATGTGATAATTAAGAGAGGAGGTTAGAAATAAACAGATTTAATCGGTGTGTATGAATTTGAAATTAATTAGTTAAAAAAACATAAAAAGTATTAAAAAAAATCATGGATTGATCCATCCAAAGTTTGCTTATGCAATTTTTTTTAGAATAACATATGTGAGATTTGGGGATCGATCTCACAACCTTTTGATTAGAGATATATGTCAATTACTGTTGAACTAAGCTCGTTTTGACTTTCTATATGGTCTTTTTTCATTATGTGTATAGGGAATCAAATGAAGAGAGAGGCCATCAATTTTAGACATGTATTTTTTTGTGAATGTCAAATTTTTTCATTGCGATTTGTCAACGTGTTGCAGCTAACTGTCTCAACTATGTAGCTTTTAATGGCATTTAAACATTTTTTTAATGAAAGTTCTTTAAAAAAAAAAGAAAGGTAAAATTATAAGTTTTGATATCTTTAATTAAAACTGGATTTGATTAATTTAGTTCTTTGTATCAGACTATCTTTGGATGTCTAAGATTTGTGTCTATTTAGTTTTTAAACTTTTAAAAATCTTTTAAAAAGTCTAATTTTTCACTTTTCTATCTAATAGACATTTGATATTAATTTCATTAGTTATAACATTTATAAGTCACCAAATGTTATCTCGAGTTAACAACTGACACATTAGACATAAAATTGATAAAACCAACTTTAAAATTTTATGAACTTATTAAAAACTTATGAAATGTGGACTAAATAAATTCAACCCTGAAATTCCTAAACCCAATTTAACTTTACATTGGATGGCATGAAAAACATCTAGGTAAGTAAAAAATAAATAAATAAATAAAATTCTAATATTTGAAAACTAATACAACATGAGATAGACTTAGGTACATATTATCATCTCACTATTGGCACGTGGTGGCGTAGTGGGTTTGTGATCGAATGGAGATACTTCCCTCCTCAATTCAAACTCTACAAGACGTGTAGTTGGGACTTTCTTCCCTTCATTCGGAAACGAGTGTAAAGCCACACATAAACTGACTACATTTCAAAAAGTCTAATTCTTTGAGACCAAAGTCATAGGTTCATGTTTTTAACAAAAGCATAAAGTCAAATTATTGAATAATTTCGAATCCTTCTCAAAACATGATGACATATCAAAAACTATAAAATATATCTAGGCATATAAGCATAAATCCCTATATATGCTTATCGAAAGTCTTCTTATTGAAAATCATCCAAATCCCTTTTTTTTTTTTTTTTTGACAGACATCCAAATCTAATTAAAATAAATAACCATAGATATCATGATCTACATTTCGTGAAGAACTATATATATTATATATACGAGAAACTGTCTTTTGGAGTGTTCCACTCGTTACCTCAAATTCCTAATTAACAATAATTAAGCTTGCATGATTAAATGATTAAAGATTTGACCTTTTTATTTCAATCAATCACCCAGCATAAATTAGAAGCCAAAACGTTATTTTTGCACATGAATATCATACTCATTGGAATAATCATGCTAATATATATCCCAATGAAAATTTTAAATATGCTATTAGTTTAATGGTTTAAATATTATATTTTAGTTTTTATACCTTCGACTTTGGTTCATTTTGATCTCTATACTTTCAAGACGACTTCCAACTTTTGTTTATTTTAATCTTTGTACCTTCAAAACATCCATGATGATTCTTATACTTTTAAAAATGATTGTTTTGTTCCATTTATTTTTATTTTTATCTCGTTTCTTTCCATCATAATTTTAGCTTAATACTTCATTCACTAATTTTCTTGAAATGTAATCATAAATTTGTATTAAAAGACTTTCTATCATGTATAAATTTTGTATTAAGATTTTGTAAATAGAGATAAAAAAAATGGCCGCTTTTTGAGAATGTAGGAACAAAAAAACAGACATCTTAGAAGTATAAAGACTCAAATGAACAAAAACTAAAAGTATAGGAACGAAAACGAAGTAAAGACCAGAATATACCACCCAGAATAGTATGTAAATCTATTTTAATTTTGGGTCTATTGATATTTTAAGTAAATTATTTATTGTCCTCAAACTTTTAAATATTCAATATTTTAATCCTTGAATCTTGCTTATAGACTATTTAAGTTTTCTCTATTGATATTTCAAGTAAATTATTTAGCAAAAACTTAAAATTTTGACACCCTCGCGAGTAAATGTCATCTCATAGATGATGGACAAATGTTCGAAGCTTGGTCAAGTATTAGATTTCAATTCAAAATTTAAAATTAATAACAAAGACTAAATAATTTTTAGTAAATTGTATGTTTAGTTGTTAAATTTTAGAATGGTATTTAATGAGTTCTTAAACTTTAAAAATATCTAATATATTTTTAAATATTTAATTTTGCATCCAATAAATTTATGAACTAATTAAAAATTTTGAAATTCACATAAATTTATTGATATATTAGACACTTTAAGAATATGAACTAAACTTATAATTTTGGGAGATTAAAATTAAAATATGTAAAAATTTAGGGATTGAGATGAAAGAAACACAAATTCCAAAATAAAAACTACCAGAAGAAGACAAATATAGTGTCTCTATCCAGGATGTTCTACACGTGGCAGACATTAAATTGAGTCGGGTCCCATGTTGGCTGCTGATGCGGATCATGATTAACCAATCATGGTGCTAATTTAACCTGAATCGTCCACGTGTAAGAGCAATATATGTTGAAAAATGTCACTCCTATACCCTTTTTGTTTTTGTTTTAGAGAAATGTATGTAATTTAATATTTCTTACTTTTATGTTTTCCATTTTTTTAAATATTATTATACAATCTTGAAAAAAATAATAATAAAAACTTTTGTTTCCTCTTTCCTGTTATCCGTTTTGAGTTTCTCAAACCATTAACAAAGTTTCTAGTTTAAATAATTTTGAATTTGAACCATAAATTTCATATTAAAAAATCAAACCACATGATTATTTTATATTTAAGAATTTTAAGTGACTATATATAACACTTAATACCTTTTTGGAATTTGAGATCAAGTTTTATCTTTTTTTTAATTATCATTAAAAAGAAATGTGTTAAAATAAATTTTTATGTAAAAATTAATTTGGCAAGATAACTTTTAGAAAATAAAAACAAAAAACAGATGTACTGTTTTACTTTATTTTACACACAAGTGTTTAGTTGATTTTTACACGAGTTTTTCCAATTAATTGTTTGTTTATTATTAATTTTAAAGTATAATTTAATTTAAATATATCGTCATATATTTTTAAATCAATAAGTAGGAGAGAAAAAAAAAATATATGACAAAAACATACTAGAACGAATTATTACTTAAAAAAAACACATCGATAATAATCTTAAATCATCATCAAATTTTCGAGCCTCACTATAAAAGTTGAAACAAACATTACAAATGTGACAATCTAAATGTCACCCATATGAATATTCATGTATCAAGAGGAATCCTAAAAATATTTCCTACTCATTACACTCGAGACTATCCCCTTTTACTTGTCTTCTTGTGATGAGCTAGCATTAATTTCTCCATTTTCCCAAAATAAATACTTAAAAAAAAAACATACATAATTATCTTACCTTATCTCTAGACAACCAATTGATTAAATTTTATTTTTCTTCCAAAAAAAAAATGGAACATTGAGATTTGAATTTCTAACCTTTGAAAACAAATGTATGAGTAGTTGAGTTGTGGGCACTGCAGGGTCGTGCCTCTTCTAAAAGGCCACGCCACCTGCTTCATGGACACGACCGTCATGGCTGTACCCTCTCCAAGAGTAGCTACGCTCTCTCTGCAGCCAGTCCACCACCCATACAGCTAAACACGGATCCCGAACACGCATTGTCGCCTTGACAATACCACCACACACCACTGCATCCCTTGTCCGTTTGCGGGTGGCACCACACGGCCATGACATCACATGCAGGTTTGCTCCCTAAGTTTACTTGTAAAAGTAAGTCAAAGAACCTCTATAAATATAGAAATTTTCGAGCCGTGTTTGAGGTAATTAGTAATTCCTCCCTCTCAATTCCATAAACTCAAGCAATTTCTTT